TAATTATATTTTTACATTACACAATTTCATAAACTCAAACTTATATAACTTTTTTTCTGTTTCATTTTTTATCATTTCTAGATAACTACAATATTCCAGATTTCTACAATAATCTGGAAAATGCCTTCTTTAAAACAAGACCAGCCATAGGTCTATATTCCAAAGCATTCCTGAATTACAACCATTTAAGTTTGGATAGTGATTTTTTTGTTTTTTTTTTCTAAAAAAAGGGGGTGACAGTTAACAGGTTAAGTTAGTTTAAAGAGTAATTTTTTGAGTGACTTACTTTTCTCTGTTTGCATTCACTCATTTCCCAAAGTCATCTTGAATGTGGAATTGTCAATACAACTGAAAAATTTGAGAGAACATCACATAAGTTGACTTCATAAATTGATGTTGATTTTCCTCAAATATTTTTAGTCGGCGATTAGTGATCCCTTTGGCTGGGCACTTGGAACTTAATTTACTGTATTGTAATTATCTTCCTATTGACAAGAAATTAGTTATTTGGTGTCAAAGGATAAGAAGGTGTGTGTGTGTGTGTGTGTGTGTGTGTGTGTGTGTGTGTGTGTGTGTGTGTGTGTTTGTGCGTGCGTGCGTGCGTGCGTGCGTGCGTGTGTGTGTGTGTGTGTGTGTGTGTGTGTGTGTGTGTGTGTGTGTGTGTGTGTGTGTGTGTGTGTGTGTGTGTGTGTGTGTGTGAGAGAGAAAGAGAGAGATGTATAACATAACTATATTTCATGTCAATTAATGATCTTTTATCATTTTGTTGCTAACACTTATGTCCTAAACACCATGTGAAACTTTTAATTGGGTTTATATAATCCCTCTATATTTGTGACAATCTTGTAATTGATCATGCTTGAGTCACTCAACATTCAGCATGCACAACACAACAATGGTAACAATTACATTTTATTTAAAGTAAATGATCAAATATTCTCTACAGTTATTTTTTTTAGTTACTAGAACTCTTGTGTAAGTGAACCGGTATACTAACTAAGCATTTGTCAGTACCACATACTATTCCTATTTCACTTTACTTGCTTTTTTTTTAAGGCAATGATTTTCTTGATATTTTCCTAGTAATGTGAACTCTAATGAGAAGTTAATACAACTAATGATTTTGATTCAACAGTACTTGAGTATACTTGATTAACAAGTTTTCTTGTTAATACAAGTATAAAATGAATACACTACTTTACTTGGAAATTTTAAGGCAATCTGTTTCCTCACTTTTTCTAAGTAAAGTCAACTTATTACATTTTACAGAGTAACAACAACATGCATTATGAACTACCTCAGAAATGAGAATTGTTGGCTGTAAAAAAAAGGCAATTGATGTAAAATCTGACTCAACATGTAGGCCTAGCCTATAAATAGAATTGAAATCTTACTTGGCCTATAGCCTACACAAACAAAGTATGACTAAGTTGTGACAACATGTTTTACATTTTGATTTAACTTAAAAAATATGTTAAGCAATTTTCAACTTTTTTTGTTATACACGATTCAACTCATTTTTTAAAGTCAGTTTAATGTAGCCCTAATTTAAGTTGAAATTACATCCAAGTTTTTTTTACAGTGCATAGCAAAAGGTATATTTAGCCAATAAATAAAATAAAAAAATCATGCACTTACTTGACTTTTTCAAGACAGCAAGTTCGCTGTCAAAGGGACATCCAAGGGGTTGGAAACCTCAGTTAAGCGTTCGCAGTCATCTAAACTAAAACAGGCTTATAAAGGCACATGTGTTATCTCGGAGCATCACCAAAACTCACCAAATCCGTGATAGCAAATCTGCCCACTACAACGCAGCAACATTCGTCCCTAATGGGAACGGAACGGTGAGAGTTGTCCTGTCATCGCACCTGTCCCGTCTGTGCATTCAGTGTGGATTTAAGCAGCCTAAATGTAGATCTCATTATTCACATGAGAACCAAGTGATTACTTTTACAGCTCTCTGAAATTATGTCCCGACTGGCTATCCTATTCAAACAACATTTGCAAAGCAATGTATTCAAGCAATATGTTCAATAATCACCAAGACTCGTCTCAGGATTTCATTGATATAGGCTAATAGGTAGGTCAGGATCGAGCACGACAGGGGAGCGGGTAGTAGCCTAAGATTAGTAATATGAGCAAAGAAGATTTGTGGCTTAGCGCCGACCTCAAAACTGCATGGCTTTTGCGCGCAAATGGTTCCTTGCGCTTTTCAACGCGAACGTGTTTTGCTGTGTAGTTTATTAATGGCTGTAATAAATGTGCTCGAATAAAACCTGTTTATTTAGGCTACATTATTTCAGTGTCTGGTGATGTTCACTCAGAAGTTCTGGATAATCGAACAGAGCGCGGTTGGCAAGTGTGATAAAAGACATTCTTCCAAAATTCGTTGGAGTTGTAGGCTAATAGTGACATCCATCATCAGAGGTATGACTAGTGATAACGTCTTTTTATTCGTGTCTTTAGCCTAAACACTTTATAGGCTCAAATTCATTGTGCGCATCGTGCCCGGGAGTGCCATGCCTTTATTGTGGACGCGATCGCTTATTACGATGAGATCATTTTCCCCCCACAATAATGAGGATTGAATCCGTCTTCTTTTTTCTTTCGTAGAAAATGTTCACATTACACCTGTCATGTTTAGGAATGTTGTGCTTGGACACCATACTATTCCAGAATTGATCAGAAATGCCATGAGGTCGAAAGTAGACTAGGTCTGGTGGTGAGTGAACATAAAATTTAGTTTGGAAAAGGTAGGCCTACCTGTGTCATTCTTCAATTTCTCCATTATTTATTTAATACATTTAAATACAATTTCATTTCTTAATGGAATTGTTAGTGAATTTATTGATAAAAAGCTTTTATCTATCATAAAGATAGCGAATTAGGCCTACTTGTTTGTAGTAGTTTTGTTAAATTACATTTCACTTTTTAAATTTTTAAACACCATTTTGGCGTTAAAAGAACGGCATGGCAACCAGAATTAGATGAAAGACTACATTTAAGACTACAACTTAAACAAAGTTTAAATGTAGTCTTTCATCTAATTCTGGTTGCCATGCCGTTCTTTTAACGCCAAAATGGTGTTTAAAATTAAAAAAGTGAAATGTAATTTAACAAAACTACTACAAGTAGGCCTAATTCGCTATCTTTATGATAGATAAAAGCTTGTAGCATGCGTTTTGCACTCTTAAAGAGAGAGTAAAACAAATTATATAAACTATTTTGACCTGAATCAAAATAATGCCTTACACTATCCGATGTGTGTGAAGCTGTGTCAACGAGTAGGCCTACTATATGAACAACAAGAAACAGGCTGTAACAAAATCAACAATAATCCCTAAACCTATTTCACTTTTTCTTTATTTCTTAGCAAACAAATCAAAATCAAGTTGTTAAAACAAGCTGCATGTTTAAGATATTTGAGATTTTATATTTGAGATTTTGTGAATACATGCTTTTGTGAGGGGTTGAAAAACCACACTGCAACAAGACAATGCGTGGGCCTTCTGCTACCTTTCTGCTGTCATCTGAACACGTGTGGTTACACCAAAGTAAAGAGGTGCAATACACAGCAGGATGTTAGACATGAGGGTCTCATGAAACAGATTGAACTGAACCTGCTTACTTTCACATACAGATGTCCATTCACAATGACCCAATGGCTTTACAACAACATTGATAAAACATTTTACTGAAACAAAATATTCACTTTAATAGGCTACATGTACTCCCATAAATCCTAATAACCAAATTGGTGTTATGATTTGAAAATGCATTTTTGACCATAAATTTAGACACAGAATTACTTATATACTGTATAGCCTAGTGTGATGTATGGATACATTATAGACTTAAATTACTTTACAAGCTGGTTTGTAAAAATCAGTAGCCTATATTTTGGTGATTCGCTTATCGTTAAGAAAATCAACATTCAGAAAGTTTCTCCGTGACAAAGGTTTTTTTTTTTTTTTTTTTTTTTTCATATCACAAAACTCTTAATACTCAAGACAGGCATAATAAAATGATTTGTTTTAGTATAATTTAATGATTTTTTTTTCTATGTATATAAATATATTTGATATTTATAGAATGGAATTTTAACATGACGTTGCACATATGACATAGGTATTTGAAGTGCTGGGTGGGGAAATGTTTTAGACTCAGTTTGCGAGCGAAGGTGTGGGCGTTCAGCATTGGTCGTTGTTCTCTCACCATACTGCTCTTTTCATCTCAAACCCGTGAGGTTAGATCAAAACAAGTAACAGCATCCAGAATAACAGCAGACTGTAGAGTCAACCGACAAAAAGAACACCTGCTCATTCTGTTGACCTTTCAGGATAAAAATCTGTAGATTTGAGCAATACAGACTAAGCCACACCAATATGCAATAGTGACTTTATGGATGATATATATGAACCTGAGAAATCTAACCTAAGCTCTTGTCTTAGCAATACCACACGTCAATAATTGGCATCTAAAACATCAGGAACGAATAGTGGCAGGCCTCTGCGGACTGACACATTGACTAAGTTTATTTTAGTTAGTAACCAAGAACTGCATTAAGCAGTATTTCTAGGACAGTGCTTCTTAAACCTGACCTGAGGACCCCCCACCACTCCACATTTTGTATGTCTATCTCATGTAACACACCTGATTCAACTCATCAGCTTTAATTGGGTGCGTCTGATAAGGGAGACTTCCAAAATGTGCAGTGGTGGAGGGTCCCCAACAGGTTTGAGAAGCTCTGTTCTAGGAGTCCTAAGAAAAGTGATAATGTCCCATGGCCCTGTTTCCTGAAACACCAAAGTAAATGCAAGAAGTAAAATGCTATTTTATCTTGGCAACATGTTGACTAATTATTTAACACCTTTGAGGGCTGCAGACCACTGGGAAAACTGTAATGTACAATGTAAACATGTCTTTCCATCTACAATCTTGTAGAAAGTTATTTATATGGGCTAAAGGTCCACCCACTGAGTACTTCTTAAGGGATTCTTTCTTTCTTCTTTTGTTTCTCCTTGCAGGCCATGTTCCTTCAAACTGGGTGGCGTTAAGATTGCCGTATTTAGGCTAGTTAAAAGTGGCATACATCTAACTTCTTTCAGATCTTTGGAACTGCAGACATGAGCACCTCGACACATTGTTGGATACAGTTATGTGTTTGCATTTTTGCTTCACACAGTAAGTGACATTTTTGCCTGCATTTTAAATTGAGAATATTCTGTCTCAAGAATCTCACCTCATTAATTTTAAAGAGTAACTATTTAATCTGATATTCTAGTCATAATGTCAGACATATAAAAAAAAAAAAAAAATCATTCTCTCGTTTGCAGCTACTTGCTCATTCCTCGTGTCTCAGTCACCGGACCTCACACACGTCTCAGTTGGTGACACTGTACAATTAAGATGTTCATTTGAGCACAAAGTTTCTTACTGCTATTCTGCTGTAACATGGCAAAAGCTGAACCTACGGACTGGTAAACTCACACCGACGAGGTCTGGCTCTCAGTCCGATTCACTTCAACATGATGATAAAACTTGCGTTGTTACTTTAACAAATGTAAAACAGAATGATTCAGGTTTGTACTACTGCATTAGCCATTCTAACGCAATGGCTATTGTCGGCAGTGGAAGCAGGGTGATCGTAACAGGTAAATCTGGGGTTAAATCTCATCAACTTTTCTATGGGTCACGGTCACTATAACAGATAACATTCTGACTTGATGATATGTGTGTAGATCACTCTGTTGTGCAACCAGAACTATCCATCTTATACTCAGCATCAGAAACTGGCTCATCATCGGTAGCACTGCAGTGTCTGGTGACCGGAGTTGTCCCGTCTCAAGTGCAGGTGTTCTGGAGGATTGGAGAGAAAGCGCATGTTGGATGGACCGAATCCGCTTGGACAGACTCCACTGATTCAGCCACAGAATTCACGCGTGCTCATCTCTCTATTTCTGCAGATGAGTGGACAGAAGCCGATGAAATCCAATGCTTTGCTGAATATAATGGCAAGAACATGTCCAAAACTCTGAAGCGATACGGTGCGTATAAATGATAAAAGTCTCAGAGAAACATATCAGGAAAAATAACAGGTCTACACCTATTATTATCCAGTCAAGTTTAAAAATGTCAACCGACTAAATTGATTTTCTTCAACCTACTGTTGAAGAAAGTTGCATTGGAACTCTGAAAACTAATGAAATCGAGTAAAAGTGAAAAACTGAATGTAAACAAATGATGATAACCGTTTACAGTAGAATACAGAACACTGCCCACTGCATTTTGCTTTTAGTTATTAATTAACTTAAGCATATCTATTAATCACTATGCTCATTGCTATATTTCAGTAACCCAACCAATCTTCTCCTGGCTTCTGTACACCGGCTGCGTGGCAGCGCTCCTTACCATACTTATAACAGTCATTATGTCTGTAGGATTGTACCGAGGTGAGAATTCGGTGCTTCTGATTTTGAGGAAGTTTATATATGCCCTAAATAGTTGGGACTTGCACTGATTGAGGTTTGAATTTGCAAAGCAAATGCCTAAAAATGAGTTTTGTTTTGCTGGCTGGGCCTTTTTCAGGTTTGTTTGATTGGACTTTACTGAGTAAAGCTGTCTGACAAACAATCCAACATAACCTTGTATGTTCACAATGTTGATTAATTTATGTTGATAAATACAGTATGACAATCTTATTGAAATAAGCCTGTGTAAGTCTTCAGAAATTCCATATTAGTAGCCTTTTACTTATAAGAAATCATTCAGAATTTTCATGTAGTTAAATATTTTGGAGGAAATATGTATAAATGTGCACAATTCATAAACAAATGCCGAGCCAAAATTATTAGGATATATATTTTAAAACTAACATCAATCAATTTTGCATTAATTAAAAGGCACATGCTTTGATAAAATTGTTCAGCCGATATATGATACATTGTGGCATATTTTTTATTATATTCAGTAATACATTAAATTTTTTCATTAAATTCTCAGATATGTCGGCGAACAAAAAAAACAGAGGGTCAGTATTTCAACTTCTACCCTATAAACTTCAAAAAGTGTATTTTATGAATGTAATTGAAGCAACTTAACCAAACTGTTTTTTATTTTTTATATTTTTTTTATTTCAGTCTCACAAGAAAAGATGCCCACCGCAAAATTTCCTATGGTAATGTTTCCTTTCAAACCTACAACTATAATGTGGTATGCTGTATTCTAATATATAATATGCAATAATAGCTGTAAAGTAATAAGAGTCAAGAAAAAAAACTGCAAACACAAAATGAAAGTGTCTATATTTATTTACCCTTTAACAGGCAAACAGAACACACTGAGAGAAGAGAGTTCATCTGTTATGGTAAGAGGCACAGAAAATTGTGGAGACTGAACTAAACGTTTTACTGCATGTGTCTTTGAAAATTACTGTTTTTGCTGTTTCAGAACAACTATTTAATGTGTGCTATTTAGAACATGAGAACAGGTTCATGAAAAAAAAAAATCAGCAGACACAATTCTAGTGAGATGAATAATTAACTAATAAGCAAGCTCTAAATATGTATTATACAATATGAACAAGGCTTGCAATAATATTAAATGGAAAAAATAAATATAAGTATGTGGTTATTGAAATTTGATCAAAATATTGTTTTGCCTGTAAGTTTGTTAAAACTCCTTTGACATTGTGTGTTTGGCTTATTTGTTATATTGGTAAAAGTTTTCTTGGAGCTTGGCAGATGTGGTCACTATGAATGTCGTGGAATGGAAAATAGCTGTGTGCAGATTCTTTAATATGTTTTTTGTAATGTATTACATGAATCTCTAGATCATTTGATTTCGACTGATCAATTGTGGCATTGAGCAGTTAAAAATGTATGTTTAATGACCAATAAACTTTAATCAATAAGAAAGAAAGGTTGTGATGGAACTTTATGAAGTCTTGTTATAGTGTCTTCACTAGTTTCTACTCCTTTTTGTACGTAGGATTTATTTTGTGGTTTTTGACCAGTAAACCATGTAACCTTGAACAGCAGATTCGATTAGACAAAATATTTTACATACAAAACTATGCTTTTGCAAACTTTTGACCAAACAAAATTTGTACTAACTTTAAATAACTATATTTTATGATCTTAGAATTTTGTCCAGTGTTTCTCTGGGGATCTCATCAGTCAGGGGCAGGGTACGAGTCCATCAAAAGAATAAAGGTAAAGCAAAGCAGAATTTTAATGAATTATGTGCAACAGGAAATAGTAACCCATGTAAGGATCATTCTCACGTGGCCTTGAGATTTTCATTCTTTTTTTTTTTTTTTTTAGGGTGCTATAGTGGGGAAGGACATAGGAGTATGTTAAAAATGTCTGAAATAAAAGTTAGAAAATGAAACATATTGTCTTAATACAATAAGATGACCTCTTCTTGTTTTATAATCATGAATATTTAAAAGTTAGAAAATGTAGGTTTTCCTGTATGTATTTCTGTTATTTTAAGTTTGTTTATTTACTTTTTGTCCCCCTAATAAAAATGTGTCCTCTTGAAATTGGGTTAAATCATGCCTCTTTGTAGACCATCACCATTTCTAGACCATTTTCCAGAGTAGTTCATATGATGTGAGATTTTTTTATAAGTTATATTTGGCCTAAAATAGGCTGATTCACAATACAACCTTAATGGCATCCTGCTATTAAAAAGGAGGGCATGAAAATGAGGAGAGTGGCACCAATTCTATAGTCGTTTGTAATTCTATAGCTTTTTTTGTAAAGTAAAACATGAGCCCGTGAGATTGTTCATAATGTATGCATATTTTCCTGTGATGGGTTGAAAAACCACAGTGCATGTAAAAAGACAATGTATGGCCTCTTGTTGAAGTCTTCATACTCTCAGTAGTGCTTGTGGTTAGACATAAGCTGCATAACAGGATGTTAGATGAGATAAACTGCATGCACACCTGCTTTTGCTGTCCATTTTTGCAGCAAACCCACTGACATTAATTAAGCCTTGATTATGTTGGACCTTACACCTTTGTATTGATACAAAATGTTCTCATTTGTCATTCATCCCTACATGACCCAAGTAACCACATTAACTTATTGTTCGGAGGAAAAATAAAATTAGACTACAAATCAGTATTAAATCACTTGAATATATTTTGAAATATAATGAAAAATATAGTTAATGATATCAGATCAGAGAGCAAAGTTGGGAATATTACATCAGCTACATTTGTTTTCCTCTTTTATATTATGCAGATGTACAGATCTTACAATGTGAGCTCTGAATTAAGAAAAAAATATCATTTTGTATATCTGATTGTACACTATTAAGGGAGATTATGTCCATTTTACTTGGTAAAATGTCAATCTTAAGGGGATAGTCCACCCTTACAAAAAAGTTCATTCAAGTATACTTAAAATATATTTGAAATTGAATTAAGTATACTTCATGTAGTACAGGTATGTACTAGTAGTACTTGTAAGTGTACTATTTTAATACTACTTGGAACTAAACTGGCCCACTTTTTAGTATAAAGTATACATTTAAGTAGGCTATACTTCAAGTGTAACAATAGTAAACTTTGAGTACTAGTTTACAAATAGTTTTTCGTTTGGACTACAACTACAAGTAAACCTATATGTATAACTTAAAATCATACTTAAAGTGCAAAAATAATAGAGTTCGCTAAGTATACTGTTCCCATTTCATTTTTACACTTGAAATGTACCTTTAACTGTATTTTAACTCTTTCCCCATCAGCATTTTATTTTTAAGTTGCTAGCCAGCGGCAGCATTTTTTGATCATTTTAGCAAAAGTTTCATGGCCCCCAGAATATTTTGTTTTATGGATTTCTGAACATGCAGATTGAGTTGAGTTCAAGAATAGGTCAAGACTTTTCTGTCAGTATAAGTCAAGTACTTAAGTGTAACGTTATATTTCTGAGAAGTAAATAAAGTTTACCTATATTTAAGTATATAAAATGTATAGACTAAAAGTACTTTCTTCTTTTTGGCTTTAAAAAAAGTATACTAATAGAACACTTGAAATAACCTTTTTTGTAAGGGCACCCAAACACCGTTTAGTCTTTCTCTCATGCCATTCCAAACCTGTATGATATTTTCTGCTGTCGAACACGAAGGAAGATATTACTAATATTTCAATTGTTTTATCCATATAAGGTCAATAACAGCATTGCATTAGCCAAAAGCATTCCACTGAAGAAAGTCATGCAAGATCTGAGTATTTTAAATTTTCATATTTGTGTTAACATTTTTTTAAACTATTTGTGTTAAAAAAAATAATATATCCAAATAATTTGTTAACATGTTTTCTTTACTTCAATCAGCTTATTGTTTCTGCCTTTGTATTAATTTAAACAATGTTTTAAAATGGTGTTAGCTAACTGTGATTTGAATATGTACATTTCTGAAAAAATATAACTTGGACACAGTCACCTCATAAAAAATCTTTCTAAATTGTATTGTAGACATGCATTTTCTGTAAAGCTGCTTTGAAACTATATGTATTGTGAAAAGCGCTATACAAATAAATGTAAATTGAATATTTTAACACGACGTTACATAATTCGTTCAGTATTTTCTAGCGTGACATTCCACATATGTATAGCTATCTGAAGTGCAGTGTGGAGAAACGGTATTGTCAGCTTGTGAGCGAAGGTGTGGGCGTTCAGCATTGGCCGTTCTTACACCATACTGCTCTTTTCATCTCACACCAGTTAGATAAAAACTTGTGACAGCAGACTGTCAAAAAGAGTAGTTAACAGACAAGAACAACTTCTCATCTTGCATAGATTGCTACACAGAGAAACAAATACTAACTAATCCTGATGAAACAAGATGAAACGTTGAAATAGACTGCTTGATTTTCAGAAGGTACACAGAGACACGATATAAGTGCTACTTTGCAGCTTATTTGATTAAAGCATTATTACCTGCATAATAAGTTACCTTATAAGTTATAAGAGTGTAATTTGCAACATAAAGAGATCTAGTATTTCTATGCTTTGCAACAGTGATTTCTAATGCAAGGAAGGTCCACCCACTGGTGAGGGGTTATTTTTGCAGGTAAATGAAACTCTTGTGTACTGGGATCTTTTGGCATTACGATTGTGACCGTTGAAGGTGATATTAAAAGGTGCATCAGAGCCTTGAAACCATTAACATGAGTACCTGGACGTGCTGTTGGATTTTATGTTTTTGCATGTCAGCTTCACAAAGTAAGTATGCAAGTTAAGAATGTCATCACATTTATCTCAGCTCATTAATTTTTCATCATGTTGAATATTCGTTTTAAAATTGCTTTTATTCTCTCGTTTGCAGCTACTTGCTCATTCCTCGTGTCTCAGTCACCGGACCTCACATACGTCTCAGTTGGTGACACTGTACAATTAAGATGTACATTTGAGCACAAAGTTTCTTACTGCTATTCTGCTGTAACATGGCAAAAGCTGAACCTACGGACTGGTAAACTCACACCGACGAGGTCTGGCTCTCAGTCCGATTTACTTCAACATGATGATAAAACTTGCGTTGTTACTTTAACAAATGTAAAACAGAATGATTCAGGTTTGTACTACTGCATTAGCCATTCTAACTCAATGGCTATTGTCGGCAGTGGAAGCAGGGTGATCGTAACAGGTAAATCTGGGGTTAAATCTCATCAACTTTTCTATGGGTCACGGTCACTATAACAGATAACATTCTGACTTGATGATATGTGTGTAGATCACTCTGTTGTGGAACCAGAACTATACATCTTATACTCAGCATCAGAAACTGGCTCATCATCGGTAGCACTGCAGTGTCTGGTGACCGGAGTTGTCCCGTCTCAAGTGCAGGTGTTCTGGAGGATTGGAGAGAAAGCGCATGTTGGATGGACCGAATCCGCCTGGACAGACTCCACTGATTCAGCCACAGAATTCACGCGTGCTCATCTCTCTATTTCTGCAGATGAGTGGACAGAAGCCGATGAAATCCAATGCTTTGCTGAATATAATGGCAAGAACATGTCCAAAACTCTGAAGCGATACGGTGCGTATAAATGATGATAGTCTCAGAGAAACATATCAGGACAAACGTTTATACTTTCCCATTTTATTCTCAGGTTTTTTTTTTAAGAAATCAGAGATTAGATTAATTGTCACACTAAAAGGTTGTCATAGCAACTAAAACTTTTTGATTCAAAAGGCCATTTATGCAATTTAATATATATATATATATATATATATATATATATATATGGCAGTGGTTTTGTGTGTGTTACAAACACCTATCAAAACCCTAATTAAGTGATTCAAAATTATTAGAAAATGCCTAAGAAGAATAAGTTTAATAATCATAATTGAATCTCTGTTGTGTGAACAAAATGATTCATTTTCGTACACTCAAGCAAGATACATAGGTCTATATAAAGACTACCAAAGGACTGAACCTCAGTCTCCACTATAGAACACTGTACTTACTAAATATGAATTATTCATTATATTATGATGGTTAATCTTTCAGGATGGAATCAAAGGACTTTCTGGCCTCTGTACTGTGGCTTTGGGGCAGCATTCCTGACTATGGCTGTGGTCTTCTCTATTTGTTTATGCCAAGGTAAAGATTTAAATCAATATGAAAACCTTTTTTATTTTATTTTTAAATATTATAACTAAAAGTATAAAACTAATTAAAACTAAAAGCACATATGGGGAAATTATTACCAATTTTTATTTTTATATTTAAATTTTTAATTATTACCATGTATTATGTTTTATCAAGTCTGGTAATCTGCAGTAAAAAGTGCATAATAAAAAAGCGTATAAAAAAACTTGAAAAAAATTAAATACTGGAAAAAAACGCGAGTTACTTACAAAATATTGGTAACACTAATACAATAAGATTTCATGTTTTAACATTAGTTAATGTATTAACTAACATGAACTAACAATGAGCAATACATTTGTTACAGTAGCCTATGTATTAATCCTTGTGAATGTTAGTTCATAAAAGTACAGTCGTTCATAATTTGTTCATGTTAGTTCAATGTTGAAATTAACATTAACTAAAATTAATAAATGCTGTAAAAGTATTGTTAATTCTTAGTTCATGTTAACTAAAGTAGTTAACTAATGTTAACTAATGAAACCGTACTGTATAATGTAAAAATTCTCGGAGATCCACAATTTTTTTTACAGGGTCAGTTTATAAACTTCAAACTTCTAAGGACACTATAGGGTCATTCCTTGTCGAATCAACCAAATTTCGGAAGCTTCCCCAGCTCAAATGTTTTTCTGAAGAAAACATAAATAGTGATGAAAGCCAAAATATTAAATAGTAATCCACTATTTTGTAGAGGGAGGGGTCAAAATGACAATTTTTTTGGAGCCAAATTACAGGGGGGTAAAATTGACTTTAGAAAGATGGCATTATAATTATTTTATTTTTACACAGAGATTGGTAGGTCTATAAGTGAAATCTGTTGACTTTAGCAATCGCTGTTGCATTATATGCCAACAGTGAAAGTTCAAAAAATGGGAAAAAGCACTTCTTGTGTTTTTTACCCCAAGTTTGCATGACTGCAACTCAAGAAGTATTAAAAATATCGTAATATCCTTTTAGATTTTGTTTTTTAACAAATATTTCTTTTGGTATCTTCATTCTAAAGGCCCTATATGGTTTTATGGAGATTTTAATGCAGCTCCATAAGTAAATTGGTGAATTGTGCACATTTTCAGACAGTCATCAAAAACCAAATGTGGGTCACTTTGCATACAGCGGATACTTTTTTCTTTTAAAGAGGAATATCTAAACAACAAATGTTGAAACTGAAATGTATCTAATTTTTTTCTATCAACACAATTGCATAATATACCAGTCTGAGTGCCATAAACACGTTTTTTTCTAAAGTTTGTATCACTCAAAAAGTATTCTACTGTAAACTGTACTGTATGCTATTCTGTGCATGTTATAAACATGTAGTCATCTTAGTGCATTAAATCTGCCAGTAGCTTCATCATAACACATTTGCATTGAATCTTTTTATTAAATTGCATTTACCCTTTAACAGGTAAACAGAGTGCAGCGACTGCAGAAATGTCATCTGTAATGGTAAGCATGGTATAATCTAATAATTATAGATATGTAAATATGTTTGTTTTTTTTTTTTAAATCTTGACAAAAAAAATACTTCAAAGTCAAAATGATTTTTTCAAGTAGAGTCAATAATAGTTTTGGTGTGGATATTAAACTTCTTAATTTTTTGTCTAGTTTTATCCTGTGGATCCCATTAATTTAGGACAGAATTTAAGTCCAACAAGAAAAAAATAAAGGTAAAAAGAAAATGTATGTATTCTTTTTGACTGTAATCATATGAATTATGTGAAACAGTATATAGTAGTCAATCCTTGCAGCCTGGTCTCATTGTAATACATAGGCAATAGGCAGTAATACGTAATTTTCAAAGACACAAAACGTACTTTTTTGTACTTCTGGATAGATGCTGAAACATAATATGGACGTATCTGCAACATTTAAAATGTAGCGTTATTACAGCTACAAAACGTATTTACGAATCTTTCATATCATAAAGATATTTGTATAATTTCCCTTTTACCATTTTATAGATAGGCTACATGTAAGCCTACCCATTTTATGCAGAATCTAAAAAGAAAAAAACGTGGACAGAGATGTGAAGGGAAATGACAGTTTTAGTAACGATATAGCATTAAAATATATTTTGAGCCGCCAATACTCCTACCCCTAAACCCACCCATAGCCATTTCTTAAAACTACATAAAGTTGTGAAGAAAAACATAACAGACAGACAAGTGTAATCACAAAATATTTATTCATTGCGAAAATGTCAAAAGCGGTACCAAAAGCCGCTCAAATGACGATGTGTTGCAGTCGCAATGCTCTCTGGCGGTAGGCCTATATAATAGTTTTGTACGAGTAGAGCAGAATTTAAGTTATTAATACATGGAAATGTTAATCCGGCTTCACTCTGTGTGAAGGCGCACATTTCCTAATTTCAAATGTAGCTATATCGACTGAAACACGGCATGTGTATTCTCATGAGATCACGTTGCACAGCCCAGCCTTGTGAAGACCACTGTCAGATTTTCTTCAGATAATCTGTCCTCTTTTTGTTAGGGCATCAATGGAGATCAGTGTTATTGAAAGGAATGTTGGAGTATGCCACACAATCATTGAAATGAAAGTTAATTATATTGAAATTTACATCCTTCCAAAGTTGTTGTTAAACCAAAATTATAAGAATAATCTGTATTATTGTTTGATTATGTCTCCTCTTGGTTCCAAATAAAGATATTTTTACTTTTTAAAAGCTAGAATTACAGCAGAAATTGCCTTCTGTCTTTAAATCCTTTGTAAGGAAGGCAAGTTTATTATGGTGCAAAGATTCTTGAGGCACCTCTTTTGAATATGCATGTGCACAAATTATATTTGAGAAGATTTCAGGGAATAACAACGTATATTTCACGCTGTTTATAGCTTTTATATGGTTTAGGAAAACTTGAAATATAGAGAACAAGGGGCTTGTTTTGTATTTTGCATTTACATTATTATTGCCAAAGCTTAAAGGAACTACACTTCATTGAACAACATGAATCATGACAACTTGCTTTTACTCCTCAATCCCAAATTAATTTCCATACCTGGCTGTACTCAATATGACTCTTCAGTAGCGAACATTGACTCTTGAACCATGCATGGCCATCTCACCCGCTTCCCTCATCAGGAAAAAGTAAACTATTAGCATAGCTTATACGGTGTTCTCTTCTAGTACTGCAGATGTACAGTTGACAAGAAATGCAACAAGCAAACAGCACAGTGAGTGTGATAGTTATCACCAAAATAAAAATGTAATAGAATGCAAATCCTCATTACAAATAATTGCATCATCACACAATCGGTGTGCACTTAGAGGGGTCCTATTATGCTTTTTCACTTTTTCAACTTTAGTTGAGCATAAGAAAATCTGCAATGTTACAAAGTCCACTCCAAAGGGAGATCTTTTATTTAACAGAATTCACTTTCCAAGAACGAACGTCTCTTGGAACGTGTTTTTTTCCAGAGTGTCCAATCACAATGTTACTCTTTTAAATAATCCCCGAGCAGACACTGGTTTGCTACTTGCTCTATGTTTATTTAAAATCAACAGCAAGACAACTAGAAGTGAATGTGCTTTCCATTAAATAAATCACACACAGTAAACAAAACCTTAAAAAAAACTTTGCAATGAACTTTGCAATTTAAAACTGCGTGCCGGTGCGGTGAGACGTACATGCTCGGGCAGATTCTTTGAAGTCGTTCATCCTCGGACGCAGCCAGTGGTTAATTTGTAAAGTGGGAGGTCCCAGAGCGTAGAGGGGGGGTGGATCCGGCGACTCAAAACCATAGACAGTAAAAGAAATGGACAGAGCGATCTCATTGGAACTCAGTTGAGACAGTTGAAGCCCACTTTTAGCGATTTTTGAGAACTTCCGTTCCTGACGCGCAGACTCAGACCGACTCAAACTAAGCTTGATGACGTGAGCAACCTGTCTGACAGACGTTAATCTTCTAGTAGCTGTGCGTGAAAACTGCCAACGTTAATCTTGCAGAGACGGGGAACTTGAGCAAAGAGTTCTTTGGCGTGAGTGAGCAGGAGTAAGTATCCCGTTGCTTTTATGGACTCATTATCTATGGGCTTCTCCCTTGACGGGACGTCCCCCCGATTGCCTGCGAGCTTCTCCTCCTGTCTGTACGGTAATTTCTGTACAGCGCGACAGAGAGTCGAGTGGTTATGACGCAATCGTTAGTGTAACGGTGGTCAGGCAGTGAAGGGACTGAAACCAGAACTGGCTTTTCTCACATTTATTCCTTTGGAGAATCTTTGGAAAAATCAGAACAAAACATGCCTTCAGGCACTGGTGTACATATAACAGCATCCGATGTAAAGCATCCCGCTTCTCATCTCTTTGGTAAATTGTTACAAAAGAAACATTCATACAGAAGGATACACCTTTAGCATACAAGAAGGGTATAAAATAAACATAAGAAAAATAAACACAGGAAAATATTTCCTCATTCTGAAACTAATTCACATTTAACATATGAAGCAACATACCTTTGGAAAAATCAGAACAAAACATGCCTTCAGGCACTGGTGTACATATAACAGCATCTGCACATACAAAAATAAAAGAAATACACACTGAATACACGGCTAGTTACTAGCTGAGTTTACAGCTAGCCACGCTAGACTCAGAGTGTATGAAATCGTGGTCATAATGAAAGCATTAATAAACTTTCTCTAAGTTGCTGAAATTGCACCTGAATCTTAACAATACATGTAAAATAATATAACACAGATCATATGTCGAAGTTTTCAACTTTAAACGGCATTTTACAGTTATATCATTAAAACAAAGTGAGAGTGCTTTATACAGTGAACCTACCCGATGTAAAGCATCCCGCTTCTGATCGGGTATGGCAACAACACAAGGACAAAACGCAGCAGAGCTGCAGTACACCGTTTCTCCAAAGGAGGGCTCCAAAACACCAAACTCAATACAGCTGCTTAATTATGGTGAAAATCACATACAAACACTAACTGACATTTCTAACTCTGTTACATTAGCCTATTTTTACTAAATCTGTTTCTACGGGGCCATAGTGTAACATAGAAGGTAATGGAGCCCTTTATACATTGTCGTGTTTCTTTAGAAATAAATAATGGACAAATGGAGTCTTTAAACGCCTCAGATGTAAAGTTATTCGCTGTCAAAGTGACGCAAAAATGAATGGGAGTCAATGGAAATGCTAACGCAAGTGAAGTTCTGCTACAACATGGCGGCACCCGGCCGGCTTCAACTTCCGGTCGATGGATTACCCCCTTGCTCAAAACGGGGGTTGGAGGAAACGAAAAAAAAAAAAAAAAAAAAGCTACGTAGCTCTCTCTTCGTTCTCTGACTAAAAAAAAACCTTAACAACGATGTGTGTGTATCAGGGCAATGTTTATTTTAATTTCAGAACATGCACTACATGGGTGCAAAATGTAAAAAAAAAAAAGAAAAGAAAAAAACTTTTCACAAGCAGCAAGGGGGTCGCACAACGGACGAGAAGCGCCGAGTCGCGTCTAGGACAACTCGAGCAGGGGCGGCGCCAGATAATTTTAAAGCAGGTGCTGAGGGGCGCTAGCCTGGTTCTACCAGACTCTCGTACATTTCATTTGTACAGAGAGTCTGGCCTCGCTCCATTGAGAAACGTTTACTTCCTTGTAGGCGGGTTCTCTGTTAAAGTTCAAAACTATTGGATCTGCCCAGCGTCACTCAGGATCTGCCATAGCCAATCGCTAACGTGTGGTCGTGACGTATGTCATGCGCCGAAACCGGCTGGAAACAACAAGTCCGAATTCCATATTCATAAATCTAAATATCTAAATGCTAAACCTCTCTTTCTTATATTTGTGAAAGAATTTAAAAAATACCTCTTTTCAATTAAGTTGTCTGAGAACAAAAAAAGCCTTAAAAACATTATCTGTTTGTAATTATTTTCCTTTTTTCAGTGTCATGTAATTCTCTTAACTTGTTCATGTTTATTTTATATTATCCCCCTACTGTTTTATTTTTGTTTTGTTTTATTATTATTTTTTGTTTGTTTTTGTATTATGTTTTCTGTTATTACTTGTGTATTGTTTTAAGCAATAAAAAAAAACAAGTCCGAATGATCAGAGGATTATGTTTAGAATAAGATGTCTGTCAACGAGAGCTGCATGTTTTGTTCATCGAATTTAAGAGTTCAAGGAACAATTCTAAATGTATATTTGACACTAAGGACAGTGATGTATTCAGTCAACTGTCGAAGCTGGGTGTAATCATTAACAATACGCCGCTGCGGTCGTTTCGGATCTGCCGCAAATGCTGTACAGTGATCATCGTGCACGCCGAGCTGCCCAGCACCAACTCCTAACCTTTCTGCCTCCCTCACTTGGTCCTCCATTAGTGCAACAAGAGGAGACGACAACAACTATCGGCTTTGCATCCTATCGTTCGCCTTAGCTAACTCATTCACCACTAGCGGAGTGAGCTGGAAAATTAAACTTTTCCCGAACCCCGTGGGGAGGAGGGCCACAACATCATGGCCACCAACAACACTTAGCAAACATTGATCTTGCTCCGGCTTTAACTTCTGGATATTCGGCAGTTTTGCAACAACGGACCGAATAGATTTTCTCACGTCTTTCTCCGCTGCCATTACTGAACTCCAACTCAAACTGACGCGCTACATCAACGTCATCGTTCTCAGCCACTCCCTCTGTTCGCTGATTGGACCGGTAAAAAAATTATTTCTGGAAACCAAAGTCTACAGCACAATCCCAGACGTAGTACTGAAGGAAAATAAAATTGAGCGGAAGTGCGTAGGAGGGCGGAGCCAGGCTAGAGGGGCGCATCTTACTAATGCTGTTCAATTTTCATAATCAGCATGTAAAAAAATAACATTATAATATTTTTACAAAAATTAAACAAAATGCGCTTATTTAATGGCTACAACAACACATAGTGGGCCATATATACAGACTCTCTATATTGACATTGACATTAACAATGCTGTAGAAGTGCAGTTTGTTACGAGCTAAATGTTAACTAATCTATAGTTAGGTTAGGTTAGCCTACCGATTTTTTATACACAGATTCAGAGGTCTCGTGAGTTCAGTGTTGGACAGGTCAGTTGTTTTAACTATTCATTAAAGTAAATAGTTAAAATGAGTCATTCGTTTGCGTAGGCCTATCGGACGTGTCATTAGTGGACGTCCAGCCACGGCACGCTTGTGTGATTATCTCGGCAGTTTAGGACACGATTTGCGTCAATACAGAAAACATTTAATCACTGGATAGGTTTTTTCGGTTATTGAAATGTGGTTTATGTCAGCTGAATGGGCGGAACGCTTTTTAGAGAAGATAAGGCAACGTGTTTTTTTTTTTTTTTTTTTGCACAATTCACACACCGCGGTAATTCAGGAGAAAAAATCTCCAAATGCTCCACGTGAAACTGCGATCTTCCGACCTTTTACTATCGTGTCAATTGATTTTGATTAATATGCGCGCGCGCGAGAGAGAGCAAAACAGCGCTCGTGTTGTTTGAAGACGTGAGTGCGCGCGCGCGGCCGGGACGCGCTCCCTCTCTGCTCGTTATGCGCCCTGTCAAGCGCGTGATTTTTTTTCCCAAACCACTTTAAATGCTGGAAAAAACCCTGTTATTATGTCGAAATAACGAGAATCTCACCTGAAAATCCGATAACATCAGCAATTTTAATTCAAGCAACTGATTTCTGTAAATGAATGTAAAACTAAATATATATTGCATGCAGCACAGGGTGAAGTCAAACAGTATTTACATTAACAACGCCGAATGGTGCTGCCGGTGTGTGTAGATATGTGTTAGAATTTTAAAGACGTGGCGCTGCGCTTCTCGTCCGGTGTGCGACTCACTTTACCCTGAAAATTCACCTCAAAAACGCATCGAAACTGCAAACACAAGATTTTTGTGGAACTTCAATGGGGAATAAAGACTAACAAGACAGATAACAACATTGAACACTACACAAACAGTAATTATTAATTTGCCAGAGTGACACAGGAGGTGCCGGATCCAATAAAAAAAGGTTCCGGATCCAACGTCGGAGGTGCCGGAACACGTTCCGGCGTGTTCCGGCTCAAATTAAGTCCTGGACGCAGCGCAGCGCTGTCAGACAGGTTGCTCACGTCATCAAGCTTAAGGCCAATTTATACTTCTGCGTCGAGTGTACGCCGTAGTGTACGGCGTGGGCTACGCACGTAGGCGACGCCGTCATGAGCATTTATACTTCTGCGTTTAGGTCTGCGTTGCTCTGCAGTACAGCGCCGAAACGCTAGTTGGCGGCGGAGGGTTTTAATGTTCCACTGTGTTTAGATTCCTCGCGGCAAGAAGAAGAAGATTCCTCGAGGCTGTTTTGAGTTTAGGTTACTACAAGCAATGGCGACTGAAAGAGAGCAGATCATGTTGGAGTTGGAGCTTATCGAGGTGGAAAAGGTAAATTTTTAGTTTTTTTTAACAGTTTCGCTGTACTTAGAATTTAAAAATGGCGGGCGGTGCAGAAGAACACGCCGGAAATGCATAGGAGGAAACGCGATGCTACCAAGCCGACCAATCACAGATCTTGCGGTCCGCGTCGTCGCGACGTGTAGTTACATTTTTGAGGAGGTGCGCGTCAGGTTACGGCGAAGGGTACGGCGTATGGTACGCGTCTGTGCGTATGCTACGCCGTACCTACTGCGCGCACCCGACGCAGAAGTATAAATTGGCCTTTAGTTTGAGTCGGTCTGAGTCTGCGCGTCAGGAACGGAAGTTCTCAAAAATCGCGAAAAGTGGGCTTCAACTGTCTCAACTGAGTTCCAATGAGATCGCTCTGTCCATTTCTTTTACTGTCTATGGCAGCCTCCCGTCCAAAGCACCACTAACTCCGCCTCCGTTTCCCGCGTAAGCTGATATTAGTATTTAAACATTCTCTATGATAAAAAATGTTTGTGAAAAAAATATTTTAATAACATGGTTTTGCCGGTTATAGAGTTCTAATGACGGTGTTCAACTATAACCGTCACACCCCTAGTTCCATCGCTGTGCTGTCGTCATCGTGTAAAGCCCGCCCCAATGTTTCTGATTGGTGCCGCGATTTCGACGGATTAGAAATGGGCTTGAATGAGCTCTTTGCCAGACTAACTTGCAGAGCAAATCTAAATTTGCCGGAAGTTGTCTGGGTTTTCCCAGGCTAGGGGCAACCCACTCCACGAAACAAAACAAACAGGGTTCCAGCCAATAACCGACAAGAAGAATTTGGGCGGTGGGGTTAGTGCCCGTACACATGAAGGGGGGTGTGGAGGAGAGAGAAGCATGAAGAGGGAAAATTATAACTCTTTAAGTTTAATATGGCCGACACACGACCAAAGAGATGACGGTCCGATGAACAGATTGCAAAAATGCAAAGAAGAGGAAAAAGGAGAAGGAACGCTCGAAGTCCCGAATTTACATTTGGAAAAGCCTTTGAAAGGTGGCGAGATCTCCGCCGGCAGAGGGCTTCCAATCCGACATTCAGGTAGCTCTGTTTTTGCTGGACAGGTGGGTAAATCCAGTTAGATTTTTCTAAATGGACTTTCATGTTCGCTTAACAAACACAAGGATATAATTATCTAGAACAATGCAGTCAGCGCTAACTTTGGTGAATACAAAACATAGGTTTCTAGCAGCTAGCTATCGATCTCTATTGTAAATGATCTAGCAAACTCACAGTAGGGCGACAGTTTGTGTGAATGATTGTTTTCACCCACTGTTTGTTTTGAATTTGAAATGTTCATTCATAGCCTATTGACAACTTTGACCAAATTTGTTTACAACGGAGCCGTTGTTTATACTCACTGGGAAATGCGAAGCTATAACGTTATCTTGCTATTATTGCGTCCTTGTAAGGGAGCTAAAGTTATAACCTAAGGTGGCGAAACGTTTTATCGTGTTTTTCTGGTAATGTCTCTCTTTTTCTGCATTATATGAAAGCATTTATCTAACTTGGCGACATTACACCTTGAATG